AGTCTCGGTCGCGTCTTCCGCCTTGGCCGCGGCGTTGGCCTCGGCTCCTGCCGCGTCTTTCCGGTTCGCCTCGCTGCTCATTTCGCCTGTGCCCGTTTCGTCTTCTCTGGTTGCAGAGCCTTCGCCGCCGTTGGCTGTTGCTGATTGGCGTCTGCGCGTGCAAGCTTCTGCAAATGCAGGGCCGCTCTCGGTTGTCGACCACGGGAGCTTCTTTGTTGGGTTGTCTCGGAAGTGTTTTCCTCTGTGCGTTGCTGCTTCTGGCGGCTCCGCATGGAATATTGGTGATGCCCCTACGTTTTTTGCTGAGCGTCTGAGCAATGATGTTGGCGCCGGCATGGGCGGCGGGGCCGCTTTAAAGGCTAATATGGAGGTGGTGCTGCGGTGGCTCGAGATGCGACACGCTGGCTTCTGGGTGTTTCGAGCGAGCGCTTCTTCGGATTTGTTTGCTGGGGCCGTTGCAGGTCCCTGCTGGCTCGGCGCGCCTGGCGCGGCGCGCGTCGGCTCGCTCCTCTGGCTCGACCACGGTCACGCGGTGCGGATCGTCGACGACGATGGGCTTTTTCTTTCTGGCTCACTCGCAGCTGGGGCGCCTTCTGCGGAAGCGTCTGACGCGCCGTGGCTGCTGTCGATTGCAGGCGCGCCGAAGAGGAGTGCGCCGAAAAAGAAGGCCACCGCGAAAAGCCAGCGAGGGTCGCGTTTCCGCGGTGCGCAGAACCCAAATGTCATGGCGGGTGTTGCTGCGCGGCAGCGAAGCGCAACCAATGAGGATGGGGCGCCGTCGTCGTCTGGCGAGGACATGCCAGTCATCCAGGGAGCCACCGTCGACGATGCCGATTCGGGCGATGCCGCGGGGGCGCCCGTGCTTCGTCGAGCTGCAGCTGCGGTCGCCACGCGCGGCCGTGCGTCTGGGGATGAGAGCGATTCGAGTGAGGACATGCCGATGCTTCCAGGGGTTACGGTGGAAGAGGATGGCGCGGGGGCTGCCCAGGGGCGATCGGGCGACGTCGCACCGCAGGCAGCGGCTGCGGGGCGCGCTTTTCGGGGCCAGGCTTCGGCCGCGGCGCCGCCGAGCGATTCTGATGGCGAGGAGATGCCTGCGATCCCTGGAGTGACCGCGGACGCCGAGGGTGCTGACGATGGCGCAAGCGATGGCAGTGGCCCGGCCGCGCGTCCGCGCGGTGCCCGGAGAGCGCGCTGGAAGCGCGGGGCCGCGAACGGGGGGCCCGCGTCCGAGGCGGAGCCCAGGCAGTTCCAGCCGGACTACGTGGATGAGGACCGTTGCCAAGGGCTGACGCGGGGAGGAGGCTGGGGCCAGGAGCAGCGCCGTTTTCGGCCGACGAAGGGGCGCGACGCGCGCGGGAAGTGCGGTGGACATGGGTGTCCGCACGGCCGCGTCAGGGGCCCGATTCCAGCGCGCGCAGTGGACAAATTCAAAAGAGTTCGCGCTGAAGGCAAACAAGCCATCGAAGCAGTGGCACGCGCGGCACGCGATGTGGGAGGCGGCGGTGACGATGATGCCGGAGTTGAAGTCCCTGTGTGAGGTGGACGTGCACGGTCGGTTCGTGGTTTTTTAATAATATAAATAATTATATATATATATATATATATATAATTATTATTTTTTATGTATAATATATATCAACCCAAAAAAAAAAAAAACAAAAAAAAAAAAAAAAAAAAAAAAAAAAAAAAAAAAAAAAAAAAAAAAAAAAAAAAAAAAAAAAAAAAAAAAAAAAAAAAAAACGGAGCGTTCTGGCTTCGTGTATGAGCAGGGTGCAGGGGTGCGGACTGTGCAGGATCGTCGCGGGGAGGGCGAAACTCAGTTCGGGGCTGAGAGGGAGTCGCACAGCGGGCGCGAGGGCGGGAAGAATTTCACGTGGCACAGCCGGCCAGTCCTCAACAAGTACCTCGCGCAGCTGCACACCTCCGACGTAGATTGTAGTGACAAGGATTGCATGGAGGCGCTGCGATAGACCAGTAAGGAAATCCGACGGTATCCCCTGAAGCTGACGTGCGAAGGAATAGGCTTAGGTGCAAGCTCTGTTTTTCCACACCAAAGTGTATGGCAGAAGAGACTCCACTGCGGTATGATGTAGTGCCGTCACTGTTGTGACGGGAGGCCGGGGCAGACTCTGGTAAGCACCTCCTGATGCGCGCTTGCCCGCACCACACACACACCGCACTGAACGGTTCGATTGAGCTTAAACGGCAATCGCGTCGGGGCAACAAGGGGCAGAGATGGGCAGAGGGACAAGAGGGGCGAGGTGAAGGGAAGGACGGGACGGGGGGGGGCGACTGAAGCCCCCCGCGTTACAAATGCATTGCTCACCACGTTGTGAAACTCCTGTAGGGGTTCGCGCAGCCTGCCTTGATGGCAAGAGCGCAACGCAATGCATCGAGGGCTTCAGATCTGGGCTTGCCCTGGATGGAAAACAGCACGTGGCGAAAGTGCTGTTGGCGCCATCCTATCATGGACAGATCTGTGACCAGACGGGCACTATGGTGAATCACGCAGTTAAGGGGCAGCTCAATTTCTCGCCATCTGGCAACCCTCCCTAATACATACGACCGTAAAGCTCGTGGGGTGCTGGCCCAAGCCGGCGGAGTAGAAAACGACTTGCAAGCCATATCGATGCAAACCCCACTGTCATGCCCAATATCAATCTCAAGATCGAGCCAGTGCAGCGCCTGGCCGCGACCTGCCACATCGAAGGGGACGGGGTAGATAACGCCGACGGCCTCCTCCAGACAGCCTTCACACAGCACGCGAGAAACTAGGATCGCATCGTCCACGTATCTTGCAGCAGCCGCAACATCATCCCACGACAAGTGCGACGGAGGCGACCACCACTCACTAAATCTGCTCTCGCCCCAAGACCGCTCGGCATCGTTGAGGACAATGCTGCACGATATTTTTGACAAGAACCCCCCAATTGGAATGCCGCGGAGGCGAGCCACGCGGGACCCCACCGATGTAAAGCACATGCGGCAGGCGGCCTGCAGACAACCGGTAATGTCTGCAAGTGAGAATGTCTTGGCGTCTTGTCGCGGGTTGGAGGTGCTGCCGCCATGGTAGCTGACTCGGCGCTGGGACGACATCACGGTGACATAACCGCAATGGCCCCTGGACTCTGCGATGTCTCTGAGTCTCGCAGCTGCGCCGTCCACCATGCGGGGGGTGACAACCTCGAAGAACTGCCCAGCATCGCACACTATGCCAGACACGGGTGCCTTGCCGGCGCCGCACCTCAGACACGTGCAGCCTGGGGCGGGGGTCACACGGGCGATGCGTGATAGACGTTGGCGTAACTCTTGGGCGCTGTCTTTCATACGCCAGACCTCCCAGCCACCGCCGGCCCACACAGACAGGGCCTCCCAAGCGCGAGACACTTTCTGCCACCTCCGCTTGAACGGCCAGGCAATGTAGCTTGTGACCTTGCGACAGCAACTGTGGCCAATCTTCCTGCAGCTCCTCGCACCGTTGCGGAAGCACTTCGATTTGATGGTGATGTACGTGTGCGGGAGGCGCCACGCGCAAGAGTCCACGCTCAGCCAACGATGAAGTCGAGCTGGAACGAGCATGTGCAGAATCTCCCGCAAGAGCGAGTTGGCCTCCTCTGGGGTGAAAGCCACGAGGTCCCAGCAGGCTGAATTGAGCATGTACACAAAAAGAGAAGCACGAAAAGCTTGGACTGGCACTTGCCAACACCATTTTTTGTTCTTGTCGTCCTGGACAATCTGGCAGCCAGATTTTTCGCGCATGTGCCGTGTATGAGACTTGTACGCGGACGCCGTGCGCTGCCAGCTGCGCATCAAGCCGTTCAAAGCAGCACAATTGACCAGGCGACGCTCGCAAGCACGGAGGTGGTGAGGTACTCTGGCCTCTTTCAAGCCTGAAGCAGCAGCACGCACAGCCATGCCAACTATCTCGTTGCGGCTGAATCGCCGCGGAATGTCCCATCGCCTGTCAATCAACTTGGCCCCCTCCATGTCAATGGCACGCCCCAGCTCCCGATCACTCAGACCGCCGAGCTGATCGAAGCTCACCTTCCGGGACGCTGAAGAGGCTGTGCAGAAATCCATGCGTGTAGGAGTCTTGCCCACAACGGCACGGATGTGAGAGAGAATCCACCGACGCTGCCGAGGGGCAGCGAGAAGATGCTTGGCACTGTCTCTCCAGAGTCGGCGGACCAAAGGACACAGAACCGGCAGAGGACATGGCACTCGGATGCCAGCGGTGCGAGGAAGCCGCTCTGCCCTTAGAACAGCATCGAGCTTTCGGCGAAACCGTTGCTGCCGGACCACCCCTGTGTGCCCGTGCCTCACAAGGCCCAGACATGGTGCCAGGAGGATGGCAACATCCGCTGGGGTGAGGACATCTGGCAGATGGGCTGCCCAGGCCAGCACGATTGAGTCCCACGGAAGCTGCGAACGAGGATGGCATGCCCAGAGAACCAGAAGTGGCCAGAAGTGCAAGTGAAAAATTGGAATTGGACCAACAACAACTTGACCCAACCTCTGCATTGATTGGTAGACTTCCGTGAATGGACGGGCCCATCGCCACTCTGACCGCATAGCCTGCACGTCATGCCGGGTCTGCGGGGGCGTCCTGCACAAAGTATTCTGGCCAAGACAATCCGAAGTACGAGAAGTCTCCCCACTGGCAGCGCTGCCGGACTGCTGCTCCGGCAAGCGTTCGAAAAGGCACTGTGGGTGCAAAGGGCGTTGTCGACAGGACCGAGGAGGCCTGCGGCGGGAAGGCCCCGCAGTGTTCTGGACCGGCGACCTGGCATAAGTACCGTTGGCGTTGGGCCGGAGGGTGCGTATCCCGATGCCCTCAGCTGCGATCGCCGCAGAAGCAGTGCCAGCTCTGAGGACGACAAAAGATGGGGCCCCAGGCGGATAGCGGCGAGCCAAGCGATATCTGAGCTTCGTTGCATCTGGGAGCGCAGCCTTGTACCGGCCCGTGAAGTGTTCACCCCATCGGTACACAGAGCCGCTTGCTTGACATTGGCGTTGGCGATCGCGTCTAGCGAAGCCGAGGTAACAGAAGCCGTGTGCGACCCACCCGTAGACCACTGCGGGCCGACAGGACGAAAGCCGCTCTGGTCGCAGAACAGCGCATTTCTGCAGAAGTACCCAGCGTTGGGCTGCAAGATGCAGCAGCGGGACGCCGCCTGCGCTCTCCAAGCTAGCGCGGCACCAAAACAAGTCCCGAGACGAGGGCTCCATCATGGCCCCGAGGATCCACGCTTGCTTGCAGCGGCGGTGCTTCAATAGCCAACATGTGGTGATACATGAGTGCATAGTAGCCCACACCCTGTCGATGTACCCGGAACTCCGCCGATACCGCACGGAAGGGCCGAACATCCATTGATCGATGATGCTCACGCAATCCAGGCAAGCTCGTACAAACTTAGAGCAAGGCTGTCCTGCCACGAGAAAGATAATGACCCTCTCGAAACAAGTATTGATGAGCACCTCCGCCACGCCCTCGGCGTCCCTGGCAGAGAAGATCGAAAGAGCTGACTCTTCACAGCCGAGTGCCACGGCAAGGAAATGTTTGACAATGTGTTGGAAAACTGAATGGGCAGTACTCGATGGCATGTGCTGGAATATGGAACCGCCAATCACGGTGAATGGATATAATTGACAATACGCTGCAGGCCGTTGCCAAAGCCGGTGTCCAACAGCGGATCACTGAGCTGACGTGCGAAGGAATAGGCTTAGGTGCAAGCTCTGTTTTTCCACACCAAAGTGTATGGCAGAAGAGACTCCACTGCGGTATGATGTAGCGCCGTCACTGTTGTGACGGGAGGCCGGGGCAGACTCTGGCAAGCACCTCCTGATGCGCGCTTGCCCGCACCACACACACACCGCACTGAACGGTTCGATTGAGCTTAAACGGCAATCGCGTCGGGGCAACAAGGGGCAGAGATGGGCAGAGGGACAAGAGGGGCGAGGTGAAGGGAAGGACGGGACGGGGGGGGGCGACTGAAGCCCCCCGCGTTACAAATGCAGTATCGTGCAGTTTGCAGGGCCGCAGTGCTATCCGCACATCGATCCGCGCTCCAAGGGGGACAAGCTGCACGCGAACGAGAAGGCGGGCCAGTTGCCAAGCGAGGATCAGGGTGGCGAAGCAGGCGCCGGAGGGCTCGGGGCGTGCGCGGGCGCCGACGACGGGGCGTCGCACCTGTTCTGCATGCGGAATTGGGCGCAATACGATCGGTGTGGCTGCTGGCGTTTGCTCTCGCCTGCCTGCGCAGCGCGCGCGCGTGGAGATGAGTACTACAAGGTCCGCGACACCGACCTGGACTGGGAGGAGTGGTTGCGCGGGGCGGCGGATCGGCGCGCGGGGGCGGTTGCTGCGTCAGTGAACCAGGCCGCCGCGCGAGGCCGGGGAGGCGGCGACGCCGTGGAGGGCGCGGGGCGGAGAGCGGCGGCGGCGCGGGCGACGCGCGGCGGGGTGGTCGGAAGCGGCGGCTGGCGCGCAAGACGCCCCAGGAGGAGTGGGGCGAAGCGGAGGGGGGCGCGGGCGCGATTCCTGGGCCGGATGGCGAAGGCGCTGCGCGCGGCGGAGCGGGCGCCGACGTCGCGGACGGCGCGGTGAACGAGGGCGGCTGCGCCGAGGGCGCGGGCGGGGGCCAGGGGAAACAGCAGTTGGGGCGCAAGACGGCCGAGGTAGAGGCCGGCGGGAGCGCCGCGGGGCGCGGGGCGCGGAAGCCGCGGCTGGGCCGCAAGACGTCCGAGGCAGAGGCCGCCGGGGCTGGCGCGGAGCGCGGGGCCGCGGAGGGCGGGCGCGCAGGAGAGGAGGCCGCCGGGGCGGCGAGGGCGTCGTCGACGGGGCGCAGAAGGAGGCTCGAATGCAAAACGTCCGCGGAAGAATGGGCCGTGGAGGGCGGCGCCGGGCACCTGGCCGCGGAGGGGCGCGGCGGCCAGGTCGCCGCGGAGATGGTGGAGCTCTCGGCGTCGGAGCCCGAGGACGAGCGCCCTGCGTCAGACCACGTGGTCGCCTCGGAGGACGACGTGGCCTTGCCAGACGCGGAGCTGGTGCGTTTCGCCGGTGCCGGGACAGGGGCGCGCGTCGCGCCGCTCTGGGTTGCCTCGTGGCGGGGATGGGGACGCGCGCGCGTGGGCAGCGGCGTCCGCGCCACACCTGAAGGAGACGCGGCGCGGCAGCCGGATCAGGCGAAGGCCGTGCGCGAGCAGCTGCTGTCGCGGCGCGGCTGCAACCCGGCGAGCGCGCGGACCCAGGGGTCGGACGGCGACACGCTGCGGGGTGCGCTGATGGAGCCCCGGCGGCCAGGGCGGTTCGGGAGAGTGCTGCTGGAGCTGGAGGGATCGCGCGCGCGGTCGTGGCCCGAGCGAAGAGCGTTTCTCCTGGGAGGAGATCGCCGTGGAGGAGGATTTCCGGCGTCGCTCGGAATGGCCCCGGGTGCGCTTCGAGTGTAGTATGTTGTAGACGCCCGTCGTGGTTGAGAGCGGCGCGACGCGGCGGCGGGCGGTGCGGTGCTGCGATGAGCCGGACGGGGGCGACGCGGACGACTTCCGTGCACTGCGGCAGCGCGAGTCGCGCGTCGCGGCCAGGTTCGCAGCGAACACGGTGCGGGATGACGACGTGGTCGCGTTGCCCGCGGAGCGGCCTGCCGGGTGGGCGGAGCCCGCGGACATGGCGGGGGCGCGGTGGCGGGGGCAGGGGCCGCGCGAGCGCAGGGCGGAGGAGGGGCGGGACCCTGGGTGCGTTTGGGTGGGCCAGCTGCAGGAGGGCGCGGGCTTGGCGGAGCTGCTGGCCGCGGGCGGCGCGAGCGAGCGCACCGCCAAAGAAGCGCTCGACGCGCTGCAGCAGGCTGGTCAGGTCGCGCGGGGAGCAGGCCGCGCGGGTCGTGGTCGCGGGCGCCCGGCGAGGAAGCGCAAGAGGAACGGCGATGATTTGCGAGCGGCGATCCGAAGCAGATGGGCCCCGAGCGACCGCGCGCGCCCTGGGAATATGGAAGTGTTCGTGTTTAGGGGGGCGCCCGAGGCTGACCGCTGGGAGTTCCGACCGCGGGCGGGCGCGCGCTATCGCGCATGGCTCAGTGGCGCGGCGGCGCAGAGACGGGATCACCGAGCGCGTCTTGCCGCGGGGGACGCGGCGCAGAAGTGCATGCTGCTGGCGTTGAAGACGGCGCCGCTGCGCGTGGCGAAGTACGACGCGCAGCTGCGCGACGCGTCCGTTTGGGCTGCGCAGGCGGCGCGGGCAATCCTGACGCGCATGGTGAAGTCCACGTGCCACGAGTGCCAGGAGCGGCTCACGGCTTTCCACCCTGCCTTCGAGCCGCCGGACCAGCCCGCGGAGATGCTGCTGCTGCGGCGGGGACGGGCTGGCCGCGCGCAGTACGGAGGTGGCCGAGTGGGACGAGGTGCCGCCGAGCGACCCGCCAGACGGCTTCGCCCTGGAGTGGGACAGGCGGGACCTGGACAAGCAGGCGGCGGCCGCGCCCACGGAGGACGACCTGCACCGGGCGGTGGGTCTCCGCACCGCGCAGAATCACATGGACCCGAACTTCCGCTTCCCCTCCGATGACCTGCGCGAGAGGTTTCGACCAGGCCACGCTCACGGAGAGCTTGCTCATTGCTGTGGAATACATGCAGGTCACTTGGCCACCGTGTCCCGGACGGGGCTGCGCAAGTACCGCAAGAACATCATCTCGTTCCCGCAGGACGTGGCTGGTTTCGCGCGGCGCCACGAGCTGATGAAGGGGTTACGCGTCGGGGACCGCGTGAAGGTGCGGGGCCCAGGCGAGCGCCCCGACGACCCGCAGCGCCCCGAGCGCATGGCTGCGGGCAGCACTGACAAGGAGCGGCAGAGCTTTGGCGTGGACATCTGTGGGCGCCTGGCGTTTCCCGGGCGCGTCGCAGAGGTGCTGCTCAGCGGGGAGGTGCTCCTCGACTACGATCATGGCGGCAGGGAGAAGGAGCTTCAGGAGAAAATGGAGCCGCGGGTGGTGCTGCCCTGGCACCCGAGAAAAGTGCCGTTCAGCCTGATGTTGCGGCGGATTGTGGGTTTTGAGAAGGAGGTCGAAGGGCTGCACGCGCGCGCTGCGGGCGCTCTGCGCATTCGCCGGCACGCACGCTCTGGCGCCTGGGCGGGACTGCGGAGGAGCCCATGCACAAGTATTACGACCCGCGCCTGTTTAGCGTGTAAACGACGAGATCATCAAGTGCTATGCGCCGAGGAAGGGCGAGCACGCCGCCGCGCTGTCGGGACACTAGGCAGGGGAACCGGAGGTGCCCGGGCCGGACGCGGGCCGAGGCTATTTCCAAGGATTGTGGTCTGTCTGGCGTCGACGCCATGGCCGTGGACCACGACGCGTTCAGCGCATGGCTCGACAAGTCGCAGTTCGTGCACGGCAGGGTTGCGCAGCGATGGTGGGCGCGACTGCAGCCAGAGGCGGAAGGCCAGTCGAAGGGGCTGAAGTTTGGCGATGATGAGACGACGGAGGACTCGCTCGGGCGCCTGCTCGACGCGGCGGGGGGGGAAGCAAAGTGGTGTCCGCGCAGAGGGATCGGATACCCGTGGAGTGTGTGCGCGTCGAGTTTCTCGTGGACTGGATGCGGCCAGTGGGCCCGTTCGCGGGCTCGCATGGGCGCGTGATTCCGGAGGCGGTTCTGGACGAAGAGATGCTGGAGCTGGCCAAGGCCGGCATCCTTGGAGCCGCCCAGGACAGAGCCACGGGATGCGTGGAGGAGAATTGGCCGGAGTTTGACGAAGACGAGGCGGTCGGTCAGACAGGGAAGTGCATGATTTACGGGTGGCCTGGCCAGAGTGAGGACCCGATCCCAGCGCGCTCCTTCGGTCGCTTCCCGAGCCCGTTCCCGTTGGACTTCCCATGGGCGTCGGCGACCTCTTCGAGGACCGCCCCCGACGGGTTTCCGTGCAGGAGAGCGCGCAGCGCCCGATGCGCTACCGCATCGGGCAATTCGTAGGCGGCCTGCGAGGGCAGCGCGTGATGGGGGCCATGATGAACGTGCTTCTCCTGAAAGAGGCCAGGGACAAGGGCTTTGGCGTGCATCGGACCACGCACAGGCGGGCGGGTCTCGCGGTCCAGGGCCCCAGCGTGATGACCAAGGGCGGGCTTCGGAAAATCCTGGAGAGCGAGGACCACGCGCGGATTTTCGCGGTCGAGACCGACGACATCGTCCGACTGCGCTGGGTCCGCCCGTTCCCCGCGGGCACTTGAAGCCGGCGGTAAACCGTCGACCTTGTTTACCGCCAGGAGCTTCCTGCGATATACACGAATAGCATGCGAGCGCTGCAGTCGCGCATTCCGCGCGCGCGAGGGTGCGGTTCCGTAGAAATGCGCCTCACAGCTCCTTGCTTGTCCACAGCTCCAATTCGTGATACGGCAGACACACTCGATCATTCCGGTGTTTCCCAGCTCTGTAGCTTGCC